TGGGGTGGGGGGAGGTGAGGGTGGGCGTGGGAGGAGGGTGTCGGAGTGTGGGATGAGGGTGATGCTGCTGACCAGGTTCGGGTGCGGAAGGGGCTTAGCGAGAGCCCTGTCTTCTCCTCCGAAGGCCCCTAGAGCCTCCCCCCACCCCCAGCTTCTCCCTCGGGAACCGGAGGACTAAAGTGTGGGAATTGCAGGAAGGGCCAGGGCTTTGGCAATTTCTCCCCTCACTTCCCCTGTTCCCCTTGCAGTTTACTTGACTCCCCCCCTTCCTGTCTGCGGGTATTTAGTGGACGTCCCCCCGTTCTTCTGATAGTCCCTTCTTTTTTTGCATTATTTTGAAACAATTTTAAACATTTGTTTTATTTCATTTCACTTTTAGAGACAAGAGTCTGGCTCTGTCGCCCAGGCTGGAGTGCAGGGGCGCGATCACAGGTCTCTGCAACTTCCAACTCCTGAGATCAAGCGATTCTCCAGCCTCAGCCTCCCGAGTAGCCGGAGCGCCACCATGCCCTGCTAAATTTTTTATTTTTATATTTTGTAGAGACGAGGGTCTTGTTGTGTTGTCGAGGCTGGTTTTGTACTCCCGGGCTCAGACGATCATCCTGCCTCAGACTCCCAAAGTGCTGGGAGTACAGGTGTGAGCCACCACACCCAGCCCACTTTGTTATCTTACTAAGGGTCCGTACCCACCTAAAACAAGGAGGAATGACAGTCTCTGAACTCGTTCTACAAGTTTGTATTAGCTAGCCCAGCGTGGTGGTGTGTGCCTATAGTTCCAGCTACTTGGAAGGCTGAGAAGGAAGGATCACCTGAACCTAGCAGGTCAAGGCTACAGCGGCAGTGAGCTTGCCACTGTACTCCAGCCTAGGCGACAGGGAGAGACTCCAACTAAAAAAAAAAAAAAAAAAAAAAAAGTTCGTGTTAGCAAATCCCGATCTTTTTATTCTATTCCCCTTTCTTTTCTCCAACATACACAAAGTCTACAGGTCAGCTCTTTACTGATAAGAAGGCTAAAACCTTTTGAAGAGGTACGAAAGAGAAGAGAAAAAATTACATGACTTCCATAAGTTGATCTCCATGCAATACCTTAAATGAGCAGTCCTCAAAGGTTTTGGTCTCAGGATCCAAACTTCAATAGTGTAAAGCTCTTGAAAGTTCTTGAAGCTCTCAAAAGACTTTTTTGTGTATTATTTCTCTTGATATTTATTATATTAGAAGTTAAAACTGAGAAACTTTGAAAATATTTATATATTCACTGATCATTTGGAAAATATTGGTCCACCGAGCTATGCTGAGCTCCCAATTGTTGACATATTTCATTACACGATACTTAAAAAATCATGACTTTTTTTAATACCCACTGATTTTAAGAGAAACATCTTTAAGCGATGGGAAATTGTCAAGCTTGTGGTGACAGGTCTAAGTTCCCCACATTTTATTTTTATTTGAAAACTGGAATTTTATTGTAGGCAACAAATACTATCAGTTGTTTTCCTGAAGTGACTGGCTCATTGGCTCAATTTTGGGAAGTTATCTGCCAGATGCCCAAGTCCGAATAACCATAGTCTATCAGGTGTTCTTGCATGTAAAAATGGCATTCCATGGGGGGAAGCAAACAAAAAAAAACTAGTTTAGTTTGCAACTCACTTGCACAATTGCTTTTCCTCCAGATGACCATCGTACTTTGTTATAAATGAGAAGTGCTTTATGCTTCCTTCCTATTTTGTTGCACAGGATATTAAAAAGATGTGGTCAAGGATCAAGATTTAATAAAAAGTAATAATTGTACTACTTTATCAAGGAGATTAAGTGAAACTGGCTCCCTTGGAATGCAATGACAGTTTAGTGCCACTGCCTTGATCCTTGCTAAGGTTTCAGCAAATTTAGCATTGCTTTTCACCCACAGTGCAAATAATAGCTTAGTGTTGAAAATAGTTTTCACCTCACAGGTTCTCTGAAGGAGTCTGCAGGACCCATAGAGGTCAGTGGACCACAGAACACCTGACTCAGATCTTTGGATGTAGTGTATGTTTGCTGTATATGTTAGTAAGTTAGGGTTGTCACCTTGATGGATGGCAAATTTCATAATCATTGAAACTTTAAAAACAGAAAAGTGGAGCTGATTAAGTAGAATGCTGTTTGTCAGGTGAAAGGGTGGGAAAGCTTGTTCATATTTGTAACTTAATGTTTTTCTCTGCAGGGGAGGACATTTTGATAAGTGGTTTGGGAGTATTTTTTAAAGACTAACTTAAATGTTGGAATGCATAGTTGATGTTAGGAAGAGCCAGGATGTTGAAATCTAAGTGCTTTAAAGGGAAAATTGAGTTACAGACTACTCAGATATCCACGCAAGAGTTTTTACTCCTCAGAGTAAAAATTTACGGTGCCCATATTTGCATAATCAGGTTCTTTGTCATCGAAGTAGACCAATCTATAAAAATGATCAATTAAAAAAAAATTTGGCTCTTAATTGTTTTTAATTTGTCATCATATGTAAACTGTTTTCCTGGAATGTCTTTCATTTTTAATTTGGTGGTTGATTTAATTACTCAGGTAACCACAGTCAGAAGAATGATTTCTCCATTTATAGAGCAGTTCAGAACAACAAAGGATATATGTGAAATGGGAATTAAAATACTGAAATTCATAGTTTCTATTAGTAGTAATCTGCTAGGCATTATGCAGCATGTTTCATATGTTATACCTCATTTAATTTGAACAACAACCCCATAAGGTATTATTCCTATTTACAGCTGAGGAAACAGCTTAGAGAAGTCACATGATTTATAGAATTACACAGCTAGCAATAGATAGAGTTGGACTTGAACCCCAGTCTGTCCTACTTCAAAGCCTACCCTGTTAACCTCTACAGGTAGAACAGATTGATAATCACTTTATGAACATAGAACTAGATTTGATAGGGCTAATGTAAGAATGAAAGCACTTGAAAATTAGACTAATGTGTGATTTGCATTTTTCAAAGCTCTGTTATTATGCTGTCTCATTTGAGCTTCATGACTCTTAATTAGTGCACAAGGCAAGTGTTATTGTGGTGTTTTCTTGAGTGATAGAATTGAGACTTAGAAGGTTACATGTTTTTCTTATTCTCCTGTAGCTACCAGGATAGATCTCAAGTCTCAGGCCCAATGTGGAGTGAGTGCTCTTGCATAATGTAGGAGAACACACGGGTCTAGACATCTTCTCATACTGTATGCATGGGAAAACTGTCTTTAGATTTGCGGCTATATAATTTCATACTCAGTTGCCTTGTATCTTTTATCTTTCTGCATCATAGAATCTGTCCGTAATTTTCAAACTTTTTGCTGCCCCAATCATAGTAAGAAATAAGTTTGTATAAAGTCCATTTTGTTTTATATTTAAAAAAAAAACACTGATTGGGGATCACCTGTTGTGGTCATTTCCCCATGTATAGCTGGAAAACAGTTGTGTTTATGATTTTGCTCTTCCAGAAGAGAGTCATTTCGAGTGGTGTCCCAGCTTTTTATTGTTAATCTGTGATAGTTGAAATAGTCAGTACTTAACTTGTGAGTGCCCTCTTTGTCAAGCTGTGGAGAAGCTACTAAGATATCCTCCTGTCAGCTGTCCTAAAATGTCCTGCCTGGTACAGCTACTCTGAGGTGCATGTAGCATCTGCATTGCTGGAATACCAGTGTTTTGGAGTCTGGTATTGTTGAGTCTTCATTTAACGCAAAGCCTTGTGTGTGTGCAAAACCAGGCTGCTCTGTGTTGTAGTTATAAGGATGAGCTTTGTGTAGAATCTTTTTGTTTATATTTTTGTAAATCTATGGCATATTGGAAGACAGTTGGATTCTGCTGTTTCTCCATTCAGTCCATTGCTGGATGTTGTTTTTGGTCAAGTACATGAAGAAAATTCAGCCTCCTACAGATGAGTAGTTGGAAAAGGGAGTATTTTAATAGCCTTTTCTGGTAATTGTGGATATTCTTTTTGATACTACACTAAAACTAGATGGGTGGTAAGTTTCTTAAAGATTAGTTACAATTTGGATTCTGAAAACATATCAGTGAATTTTTTGTGCATTAAATCCTATTAATCTCTTTTGCCCCAGAGTAGACCTTTTACCTATGCATGATTTTCTAACATCTTGATTTTGTAATGTCATGGTTCACTTAGTTGTGTAGATCTTCTAAATGTTGACATTTTATTAGATAATATAAAAAATGAAATGCGGGCCACATTTTGAGATGTTCTAGGCTTAAGATTTTGTTAAATGTGTTCAGTGGAATTGAGATGTGGTGGTCAAAGATAACGTAGTTCCAAAGATTGGACCTTGGGCTCTGGCCTGGAGAGTTTTTAATTTTTTTACTCTTTACTTTTGTACTGCATATCAGCCCTTTCTGAGAGGATACCAGTATGTGTTTGCCAACTTATTTGAAATATGACAATCACATACTACACAGTCAGAAACAATCTTAGCTGCGGAAATAACATTTTGGGAGTGAAGAACGATTGCTTGGAATACCAGATAAGTGCAGAGAACTCAAGGACCAGAGTTTAGTCCTGGCTGTTACTTGTCACCTATAATAAGTTCTGGGAATGTCACCTGACTTCTCAAAGGAGACTAATACTCTTCGCCCCCACAATTCTCAGGATAGTTTTGAAGTTCAGAGGATACCATCAGTCCTGTAACCCAGGCAATATCTTCATCTTTATATCTGTATAGCTGTGCTTATTGTGTGATCGATATGTCTGGAAATATTTATTGAGTAAATGAATGAACTTTTAGAAAAACTTTATTCTGATGCTTTTAAACATAGCACACAAATTAGAGACAATTGTATGAAGTACCCATATATGTTTCCCCTAACACATATAACTCTAGAAAATAACATGTTCTTATATAATCAAAATATAAATTAAAACAAATTTAAGAATTAGTTTCTTAATCGCATCACATAGTCCTCTCACATTTATGTATTCCACAAATGAATTAAAATATAGAAACATATATGTATATATTTTACAGTTGGTTTTTCAAATCATATCCAAACAGTCCACTCATTGCATTTGTTTATTATGACTCTTGGTTTCTTTTAATCAAGAACATTTTCATTAACCCGATTGCCCTTTTTTCCATGTCATCGACTTGTTGGGGAAATGGGCTAGTTTTGTAATACATCCACGTTTCTCTGATTGCTTCCTGCCATTGACACTTAGCTAATTCCTCTATTCCCATATTTAACAAGACTACTTGATAGATGGTGCTGTAAACTTCCTGTGGCATAATATAGGTGGTGCATAGTTTTTTTTACTGACACTGAACTTGATTCAGACTGTTGGCAGCCTGATCTTTCCATTGTCACATCAGCCTTTCTCATAATGTTTTTAGCATCTATTGATGATCATTGCCTGAGTGAATGTACTTTGGAACAATGAGGTGCTAAATACATGAATAGAGGTATTACTGAGGTACCAGTACAGTGTGTATAGCGTGGCTTATACAGTTACTTTTGATCATGTAGGGCAGGATCTTTATTTGAGCAGAGTCATCAGAGTAATATCCAAGAGGTGGAACTGCAGGTAGTAACAAGCCTCCAGATTAGGGACAGGAACTGCAACACTGAGCCTAATTCTTTTTTTTTTTTTTTTTGAGTTGGAGTCTCACTCTACTGCATTCTGAACCTGCTGGACTCAGGTGATCCTTCTGCCTCAGCCTTCCAAGTGACTGGAACTACAGGCGTGCATCACCACGCCTGGCTAATTTTTTGATTTATTGTAGAGGAGGTCTTGCCAAGTTGCCCAGGCTGGTCTCGAACCCATGGGCTCAGGTAATACTCTCACCTTGGCCTCCCAAAGTGCTGGGATTATAGGCATAAGCCACTGTGCTTGTCTGATAATTTTATATATACTATATATATATAAGATTTAGAGTTTATCTCTTTATACCAAATCATATGAAAATAAATATCTTTAAAACATCCTTTTCATAAACATTTCACCAAGACTATCCTATATCTCTATTATTTTAAGAATTTATTGAGGCTGGGCTCGGTGGCTCATCTTATAATCCCGTGCCTTGGGAGGCCGAGGTGAGTGAATTGCCTGAGCCTGCGGGTTTGAGACCCACCTGGGCAACTTGGCAAGACCTCATCTCTACTATAAATCAAAAAAATTAGCCGGGTGTGGTACCCGTGCCTGTAGTTCCAGCTACTTGGAAGGCTGAGGCAGAAGGATTGCCGGAGCCCAGCAGGCGAGGCTGCGGTGGCTGGGAGCGGCCACTGCCCTCCAGTCTGGGTGACAGAGTGAGACTCCAACTCAAAAAAAAAAAAAAAAAAATTAAAATTAAAAAAAAAGAATTTATTGATAGATTACGGTTTCAGATGACAAAAAAGGATTTAGACACACTCCTGGAGCTCTCTTGGTAAATGGGATTTCCAGTGTCGACTATACTGGCCTTAATTTTTGTTTGATTGTTTTTGTTAAGAGAAAATAACTAAAGTAAGTCATTTTATGTGGTTCCTAATGAATCCATTTGAAGTAATCTTAGAACTCAGCATTAGGAAATTAAAACAACAGGAACATTTGGAAAATATTCTTGGTTTCTTTCTTCTCTTTGCTATTGGACATGCCTACTAAAATGATACTGCCAGAAAAATGCTTTCATGTTTGTCACACAGCAGTACTCAGACCTGTGGTGGATGGAGGGTGGAATATATTCATCTCTGGAACCCTGCTCCTTCCCCCCTCTTCCCTCCCCCCTCCTCAAATGAACAAATTCATGAAAAACTGAAGAGTGGTTGCAGAAGATTTCTAAAGACACTTGGTAACTATGGAATGTGAAGTTTTGTATAAGGGTATATTATTAACTTATTTTTTTCTTTAATAGGAAAACAAAAAATATTTCAAGCGTAGTGAACTTACAAAAAAAGAAGAGGAAGCATATTTTGAAAGATGTGGCTACAAGGTATGAATGCCTGCTTTTATGTTAAATTGTGTCTTTCTGAGTTTAAATTTATACAGCTGTTGTGAAATGACAAAATCATTGATCTCTGTTCAATTTATCAATGTTATACATTAGCCTATAAATGAGAAGCCATCTGGAGAGGTATGAGTTTTGTTTTTACTTTTTAAAAAAAAAATCTTGAATTCAGGAAAATAGATGCATGACCTTTGGCTTGGAATGGTTTGGCTTTTTGTGGACAGCATGAAGTGGCTTGAGATCGAAGCTTGAGTTTTTAAAAATTAAACCCAGGATCTGAGACTGCCTTACTTTCATCTCCACCCTCACTCCTCTCCCTGCCTCTCCCAATAAAATGGTCTTTGGAAAGAGTTCAGAACATTTTCTCCTTCCCGCAACAGTGATATTAGCAGTGGTATTTTCCCTACTTTCTCCTAAATATTTTCACCTACTGACTTTACATTTACATTGCTAATACTTCCTTTTGGGTCCTAAGAACCTCTGTTTGAAATATAACGCCATATGCCAGTTCTATGCTGTTGTCATGATATGGTATCGTGTTTCAAACATGTTATAGTTTGGTAGAAAATATAATTTTGAAATTTTTTTTAGAAACAGTGAGTTGTTCGGGAGACTTTGCCTGTATATTTTAGAAGCATGATTGAAATTGTTTTTGAAATTATCTAGGTGATAATGTTTTGCGATTTTTATTGGGAGGGGTTAATGTTTATAAAACGGAGAAATTATGTTTAAATTATTTTAAAGGAAGACTACATCTAGCTTAATAATTTTCAGTTCAAAGTTAAAAGGTTCTATCTGCCAAATCATAAATTTGAAGTCAACTTTTTGCTTGTGAAACATCAATATAAAATAATACTCTTGTGCATGTAATGGAGAAAGTTCTGGAAATTAATTTATCTGGCATAGCATTTTTGGAAGGAAGCATGAGGAATGCAACTGGTATGTATATGCATTTGGCTTTATTTTGTAGTGCTGGGAGAGGACAAGTGTTAAACAAAAATGTAGTTTTTAGAAGATACCAAGAAACTACCAAAAACGTATTTTAAAATGTAGTTATATTTCAGTTAGGTTTTTAAAATATGAAGGTTTAGATTTGTATTTTGGTTTTTTTCCATAAACATATTTGTTTCATTTACTTCTAGTTTAGAAAATGAACATGCATTTTCTGTAAATAACCATTGAGTAGATCTTCAGAAAGAAGGGTTCACATTTTCACTTGTGCAGCATGTCCAACTCACACTGGATCTGGAGTAAGAATCACTTATGTAGGTTCATTCTGCTGGCTTGTTGCATTCCCAGATCCCTAAATTTGAATCTTTTCAATTTTTTGGTAAGATAGTGGCAGTTTTTGTCTAGTGTGCTTTTGTTTATATAGAGAAAAGCATTGAAGAAAAATAATTACTGTAAAGATAATTCCTTAGAACTTCAAGTGCAGCTGACACAGTGTCTTGGATCTTTTCCCAAGCCATGTTAACTACCATTATATAGTTAGACATTTTTTTTTTAAAGTTTTTTTTTTTTCTTCTTAAGTTGCTTGATCACCCAGACTAGAGTGCAGTAACATGATCACTGCTCACCCCAGCCTCGACCTCCTGGGCTCAGGCAATCCTCCCACCTCAGCCTCCCGAGTAGCTGGGACAGTGTCCACCACTACACCTGGCTAATTTATAGTAGAGATGAGGTCTTGGTATGTTGCTTAGGCTGGCCCTGAACTCCTAGGCTCAAGCAATCCACCTGCCAAAGTGCTGGGATTATAGGTGTGAGCTAACTCACTTGGCCAGAATATCTGTTTTTATGCTTAAAAAGTAAGCATAGGTTCTTCTTTCTAAAAATATTTTTAATATTTTCATCTTAGTAGTATGACAAAATAGTATGTATTACTTTTATTCCTTTATAGAAACTAGTTAACCAATTTTTATGGCTTGATGCTGGTTTGGCCTGTGGAAATAGGAAAATTTAGTTTTTTTTTTTACCTCAATTATCAATTAGTTACCATAAATATAACCTTTAACTATAAAATATAGAACCCTGAATTACATTATTTTCACCATATAGCTTTTCTCAATTGAATGCGAGCTTCTTTCTTGATGTTGATCTTCTTGTATGTTCTTTTGATCTTACTCCTATTTTCAGCATTTTAGATTTCTCTTATGGTCAGATGAAAAATCACTTTTCAATCTATTTACAGACTACACAATAGGGCTTTTACATCGTGGGATTCGGTTTTCCTAAAGTGGGACTTGGGTGGCAGATTTGAGAAAATACGTGGAGAAGTTTATTTTTTTGTTTTTGTTCTACAGATTTATTAAACAGGAATGTCCACTCTTTCCTTGGGTGGCATGAGTAAAGAGGTGCTTTTTTCAGGGTTTTTTTTTTTGTGTGTGTGTGTGCAAAATTCACAGCTCAGTTTAGCATTGGGAATTTTCTGTATGTCCAACAGTGATTTCTGCGTCTTTGGAATAATACCTTTTAAAAAGCAGGATAGGAAAAGGTTGTTCTTGAAGGTTTCTATTGGGAAGCCAATTCTTTTTGTTAATCTTCATTTTGAAACTGAGCAAGAATCAAGTAACCCTGCAAGACGGTTTAAAGAGGAGAAGCAAGTTCATTGTTTTTAAGAAGAAGGTACAGTTCTTTAGAATCTGGGGAGAAAAATGAGTGCCCATTTCAGTCCTTTTACATTTTGGTTTGGAAACCACGGTAGTCTTGTCCTCTTGGAGAGGAAGAATGCGGTCTCCTGTGTGCATGCTCGCCACTGTGATGGCCCTAACGTGGGAACGTTTGACAAGCTCTTCAAAGCATGTACACTTATTATGAGCTCTTTCCTCAGAGAAACATTAGAAAGCCTTCAATATTTAAAACATGTTTAATTTCCATGAGTAGCTAAGGTAATAGAATGATAAATATTAACTATATTTTAAAAGCTGAATTTCATTTCTTTTGGCTATTAATGTAGATACAGCCAAAAGAGGAGGACCAGAAACCATTAACTTCGCCGAATCCAGTGTTAGAACTTGAACTGGCAGAAGAAAAATTACCCATGACTCTTTCTAGGCAAGAGGTAAGTTTCTATATGAATGTTTTGCGAAAAATAGGAAAAGTCTCCACAGTGTTTACCTTTATTTCCAGCTTTTTCAAGAAGTTAAATGTCTTACTTCCTATATAAGATGGCTTACCTAAAAATACTGTGCAGCTAGACAATTTCCTTTATGAAGTTCTAAATTAATGTTTGCTTCTTTTCTTGATAGTATTAATTTGTTAAAGAGTATATTCTTCCAAACTTTAAAAAATGAACATGTATTTTCCAAATAAGTATAATTAAATGTATATATTGTAAATAACTATGCTTAAATTATTTATCTAAATTATTTTAAGTAACATACTATTTTATAACTTTCTTTCCTTTCGCTTATTTGATAATACATCTTACTAGGTTAAAATATAGAAACCAAGCCAGGCTCGGTGGCTCAGCCTGTAATCCCGCGCCTTTGGGAGGCTGAGGTGAGTGGATTGCCTGAGACCGTGGGTTCGAGACCCGCCTGGGCAGCGAGACCTCATCTTTACAATAAATCAGAAAATCAGCCGGGCGTGGTAGCGCATGCCTGTGATTCCGGCTACTTGGAAGGCTGAGGCGGAAGGATCGCCGGAGCCCAGCAGGTCGAGGCTACGGTGGCCGGGAGTGGCCACTGCCCTCCAGTCTGGGCGACAGAGTGAGACTCCA